TATTCAACTGTGAAGTTTCTGTTTGGCTTGAGTTGAGTTTTTACTTTCAGTTTCGGTTTACTTGTGGCCTGCCTGTGTGTTTATATATCGTTTCCAGTGGCAAACTGCCTGAACTGGCATTTCATACCACAGTCCAAAGACATGTACAAGTAGATACCTCGTGTGGCTGTACGAAGGCCCATGTGCGCATGTGACTGCGCTGTGATTGGTGCATTTCGGCCGAGACACCGACACACCATGATGACTTTTCCTTCCTAGATATGCAGTCATTGAAAATCAGTGAATGAAAAAAACTCTCCATACATCATAGTGGAGTTTGTGCGTTTAATCTTTAGAAAGGTATCTTTGTTCTGCTTACAGCTTTTGTGCATATGCATCAGCTGTTTTACAACATTTGGACGCTATACGTTTACATTCATGTCATTCTTAATCCCAGCTTCGACCAAGCTAACAGCTAAGCTGTTGTAACAGGTGACAATGTGTTTGCTGCATCGTCACCCACAGATTTTCCATAGATTATTTCTATGCATGTTTTCTTTGCCCAGTAGCCACTGACCCCAGCACCACGATGTAAGGGCTGTTTCATTGCTGAATATTTTGTTCTTGCCTGAAAAGCTCTACATGATCAGCCTGAGCACATGAAAGCATCTTTCTTTGTCGCCTCTCTGCTCATACTGCCAGCTTTCCTACTCCACACAGATGTACTTTTAGAGGCACTGATAGACGCTGCGGTGAAAGTTTGGGATGATGGTGCACTTTGCTTAAGATGCCCCCAGAGCAGGTGAAAATTCCCCAGAGGTCAGCTTGCTTCACAGTTTCTGTGTTTCATAGATCCTAATATCCTAGGCCGACTTGGTTTTCGAGTGTTTTGCAAGTTGAGAAAAATGTTTACATAAATATGAACTTGATAAACGAGCGAGGTCTTGCAATACGAGTATTACGTATACGCTTTGTATGCCGAGCGTCACGTGATCACAACTGAGCCGATGGTTCTTCTCTCTCTCTCTCTGCAGGATTGTGGGTAATCATCTCCCATGCTCGGTCTCAGTCAGCGTGCCTCACTTGTATAGTCAAAATTTAGTAGAAAAGCACCACCTGAATAAGGCCGTAGCAGTGCAAGCGATGAATCTGTTTAACGACAATGCAATGTCCACATTTCCACAAAATGGAAAAGGAGGCAGAAGCGGCTGTCATTGGATAGGTTCCTTGTTAAAGTCGCACAAAAAGAAAAAGATTCCAGTGAGCCAACAGACAGCAGTGATTCCGTTAGTTATAGTGAAAGTCATCCTACAAAATACCCTCCTCTCTCTCGTCTCCCTCACGCCATCCACAATTCTTTTCAAAGGTAGTTTCAAAGTGCAGGTTAATTAGTTTTATGTATTTTTACTTTATATTTTGTTTTAATAATTTTTTTAATGAATATTTTTGGGTTGTGGAACAAATCATCTGAGTTTCCATAATTTCTGATGAGGAATTTCGCTTTGATATACAAGTGATTTGGATTACAAGCATGTTTCCGGAACGAATTATGCTCGCAATCCGAGGTTTTACTGTATATTATAATTATGGCCTTGGTTCCCTCCATTGTTGGCTCCATGGCTGCAGTCTTGCTAATATTAACTATGTAACAAACACAACTTGTCTAATAAATAAACATAAACATGAGTTATGTAATGATTAAACAAATAATTTAAAAATAGCAATAAAGTAGATTTGATTTGAGCCATCCCCTATAGTATGGCCAGCAGTGCAAATTAGTAGATTACAGTACATATTTCTATATTTCTATTAACAAAATCCATTATCAAATTTCAGCTAAAGAGATTAAAAGCACTCCTCTAAAAGAACAAGTAACAAAAGGGTAACATTCAAAAATAAATGAGAAGGGAACAGAAGAGGTAGTCAGTTAATGAAAAGCTAATCCCCTCGGCTGTTATGCTTTATGTCTAAATAGCAGCACAATGTTCTCCTGACAGTGACTGTGTTGATTTCCTCATTAAAATGCATTTGTTTGTATGGTTTTCACCTGCTCGCTGTTTTCTGATGGCATTAAAGCATTTAACATTTATATGCATAAGTGCGCAACCACCAAGGGAATTAAACAAATCTGTTTGACTGTGTTGTCCTTGTACTTATTCTGTCTCTCTTTTTGCAGCAAAAATTAATTTTATTTCATGTAGCAAGAACTAAATTGGTTTTGTTCAATAAACAAATACATTTTTTATTTAACAGATGCTTTTATCCAAAGCGATGTACGATTGAGAAAGCAGGGTCAGTCGGTCCCTGGTGCAACTGGGGTCAAAAGAGGCCCAATGGTGACATCACTATGCCTGCCAGGGGATTCAAACCTGTGACCTTCTGATCTCGGGCATGGGGTCCTAACCAGCCAAGCCACACACTATTAATTATCAGTTACTCATTACCATTAATTGTCATTAAAATATATCAATTATTGCTTATTTCTTTCGTCATTTACTTTTCATTAGTTGCTTGATTAACAATTTACAAATAAATAAACAAATAAGCTAATGGTCTGGATTTTTTTTTTTTTTAATCTGGGGTGAAGACCTACACCTTTGGATTAGGGGAGAAGATGTGGAGAAAGGCCCAAAATGTGGAGCATCAGCACCCCAAGAATAGTAATTCAAAATGATACATATGCTTTCTTTTGAAGCCTTAAATGAAATTATTACGGAAACAGATACTGTGTGACAGTGGGCATGCAAGACATATTTTCAAACTTTTCCCTATAGAGGTGAGTCAGCCTCCAGTACATAAAAAATAGATACAAAATGATAATAAATAAACATATAACAAAGCAGTCTAGTTTAAGCACCTGTGGATCCAGTCCCACTTCATTCTGTCAATGTTTCAAGTGAGTAGGATGATAAATCTGTTCTATGAAATGATGCCGCATGCACCAATACCAGTGATATTAGAGTGAAATGAATAGTTTGAAATGTTCTCTGGAAGGACTGTTCTCCTCAGAGCCTGTGTATCCTCTGCACATGCTGTTTTATTTCTCCGTCGACCTTGCACTGAAATGGCTCTGCTGTAACCAATCCGGCGCTGCAGCTATAGAACAAATAAGCGGCTCCTAGACGACTCCCACCTTTTTGGTGGGGGGGGCGGGGGCGATATAGACAGGGCCCTTGGTGCTCGTTGAGTCGTGGATTTCAGAATGAACCATGAGTAAATTAGATATTTTTTGTTAATTAAGACACTAATATAAAGGCCAAAATGTTCTTTTTTCCCTGAAATTGTGCGGCGCAAAGCCGTTTTGTGTGTTGAGAGATATGTAAATACTTCTCTGTAGCAGGACCCTCGAGGGGAAAAATGCAGCAAGGCAAATAAAATTAATCAGATTTTCTGACAGGTAAGACAAATAGCTTCAGTTAAAAAAAAAAACACTAGCACACGAATATGTTTTTTCATTCCAGAATCAGTATGTGTGACCCCTCACTTTAAGTATAAATTCATAAAAAGTTTAGAACAGAGAGGAATGAAATCAAAGAGACACCCTGACATTCTTACTGAGCCTGAAGTTAGACAGAAACCGGCTCAGTCTACGTGGACACGATCTCTGTGCAGCAGCACGCGTGTCATTTGCCTGTTTGTGATTGTCGTCATTCCTTAGTCTGTAGTTCCGTCAGCTCCACATTTCCATGGTTGCAGGTCTATTGCCTGCATGATTCTCTTCCTGGTCTCGGTCCGAAGACATGCTGCTCTGGTGAACTTAATGTGTGACTGTAGTTCCCTTGAGTGGGAACAAGCTGCTCGTGACTGCTCCCCCCTCCCAGACGGTCCCGCTCGTGTGATACGACCGTGACAGAATGCTTACCGCAGGCATGGCAGTGCACTCTCTCTGGCTTCCGAGCGTATTGTCTTGCTTCTGCACGGCCAGACGAGTGTGAGAGAAGACTGCACTGGAGACACAAATAGGGAAGAGTTTCTTGAAGAGGAGGTTCAAGGGCAACCGAGGCCTCAGCGTGGCAGATAGACGACATGATTTTTTCACCAGGACAATGCGAAAATTAATTTGCTGCAGACAAATGATTACTTTCCCTTGAGGGAATTGCTAGAAACATAACTGTTGCAAAAAGCAAAGGAACAAGTCAAAATCTCTTTTTTGTTTTTGCGGTTTTTGTTTATAAAGCCAAGTCAAAGATGATTTTAATCTGCAGGGGAACCTGAATTACAGCCCATTGGGGGGGGGGGGGACTCCCCATTGAGTCTCACCTTACTGGGTTCTGATAACCAAAGAATGTTGTGTGGTATATTTATTACAATGCAGAACCCTCTCGCGATCCAGCACCCATCTGTAGCTCAGGTCCTGACAGCCGCACGCTCCTTCACCTGACAGGACTTTCACTTCAGCACCTTCACTTATATTGCCTGCCACCCCAGTTAAGATGAGTGAAGACAGTGGTCCCAGTGTCTGTGTCTCTGCGTGACTGAAAGCAGCACATCTGCAGGCTCTGGCCCTCGGTCCCCAGTCAACAAGGCGCTGCTCTTTTTTCCAGCTGTCAAAGTGAGCTGAGCAAATACTCCATCCAGTGTTTGACATTCCAGGCTGTGGCATTCGTTTCTGAATTTGTTGAGATTTTTTATCCGCATCAAGCTGTTTAAGAAACATTTTTGTAGAAAAAAAAACATATTGCTATTCACAGCTACTTTTCTTTTGAGATCCACATACAGAAGTTGCGTCAGAGGAATACAGGCTTGTTTTTTATTTTTTATTTGTTCAGTGATTTGTAAAAAGTTACTGTGAATTTTGTTGTCAGTTTGACTCTGTATAACCATCCTCTCTTCATTTCCAGATTTCCATATAATCCAAAATCATAAACATGATCAAATTTTATATAACCCTTCTAAGCAACAATACACAGACTATAAGTGTGATGCTGCTTGGTATTTGCATGATGTTTTACATTATCTGAATGCCGCCTTTAGCCAGCACCCTGCTCCAGCTGTTTCCTCTGTCCCTGTCTTGACTGTAGAGGGCGCCCAGGTAAACCACATAGGCCCCGGCTCTCCACTGTCACCCACCATGACTCAGCCTCACTCGTACCCGGCCCTGGGCCAGCTGGTCCACGCATACGAGCAGCCGCAGCCCAACAAGGAGATGAACAAGTACGCCTCGCTCAAGGCCGTGGGTAAGGATGCTCCGACACCCAAATTCTACACGTAAAGAGCTTCTGTGTGTCACTAAATTCTGTTTTGATTTAGCTACATTCTTAGTATTAATTTAATTACTTAAATTTAATTAGCAAGAATAAGCCCATTCGCACCAAGAAACATTAACTGTGAAAAAGACTAAAGTGGGTGGCGTACATCTTTTTTATGGGACTTCCTGGTCAGTTTCTAGCTTCCTATAACAGCTGCCGTTTGTGATCCCTCATTACAGCATCATGGGCTGATCATGGTGCAGAAGGTCAGCTGCTCTGAGCAGTAAAATGTGAAACTGTTCATTGTGTTCACTAAGTTATATCAGTAATTAATTACGGTAAACCAATAGACCTACAGACAATTGCTTCTTATGCGAAATATTCAAAGAATCGATGATGCCTCTTTAATAACCACTAAACTTAACAGCCATGGATCTTTTACAAGAGGTTTAAGCTAATGTGCCAGAATAGTACCAAGCTCTTAGTATCAGTACCAGGAACTAAATGGTGCCAGTAGAACACTTAAGAAGTTAAATCAAAGTAAACAGTATCTTCACACCAAGGCACGCTATATGACTTTAATCACACTCTATCTATTACACTGAGTCAATTTGCAATTTTATGACATGTGACTATAATGTTATGAGAAATGCCGGAATTCTCAAAGGGCTGTTCCCATGGGGACAGAATGAATGAAGATAATAGGGTAATAGGATTTCTCCTCACCCCCCTGGGAATTCCCAAACACACCTCTTTTAATTAACCTTCAGAGCCTTCCTGGCCATATTTTCTCTCCATGTAAATATATTAATTGTTTACTGGGAGATCTCTAATTACATGGCACTTTCTATTGAAAGGAAGGAGTGCTCTTCATTTTGCTCGTGTTTATTTGGTTCATCGTTGCAGTGAACTGCAGAAATGACGTTTCCGCTGTGCAAACGGAAGGGTGAAATTCTCCCTCTTTCTAACATTACCCTTAATCAGACATGTGAATGCTAGTGATCAGTCGCTCACATATTTAATACAATTAACACATGAGGCATGTTATGGGAATTGGGCATTCTGTGTTTCTGTTATTTTAGGGTCCAATTTTTGGGGTTGACAGTTACTCATTTGAAAAACCATTATTATAGTTCTTCAGGAGATGTTGAGCACTTATGCTGATGGTTGAAGACAGACGCAAAGGACATGAAAGCGTATCTTCTTAACATGTGAAACTTGGCCTCGATTTAAATGGGCACATGAAAGCCATTTTCTGGTCTGGGCTTGTTGAATATCTTTAAACATCCTGTAATTGGTGTAAAAATATTTTTCCCAATTGCATGGTTGCATTTAAATATGTGCATAATTTCATGAGAAAAGAAATCAATGTTTTACATACAGTTTCTGCCCAGGTCACGAGTCAAATAGGGCAATTGTTGTACAATGTGCTGTCACATAGACTGATTCTTAAAAAGATTTAAATGAGGTTAACATATTCTACAGATCAAATACCACACTATTAGTGAGATGACACATTCAGTAATTAACTATGAAGACATGTCTGTATTATACAGATCATTTTAAGAGGTTTGTCTTTATTTTATTCTTTTTCACTATAGCTTAAATGACTGTAGTACATGAAAGAATATTCCAGAATATTCATGAACGCAGAGAAAAACAAGAAATTAAAAGTACTAATCTGTGATCTTTGTTTACAGTGCAGGTAACACTTATTATGTCCCTCTGGTCAGGGGTTATCAGACTCATTTGTTGGACATGGGAGGGTCATGGAAGGAAATACTTCAAACAGAGTTTGATCCAGAAGAGTCAATAATTCCTACTTCAGGAGTTGCTGCCATTTGATTTGTTTTGGCTCTAATTGCCTTCTTGTTAAATCCCCTAAGGACTCCGCGTCTGTTGTCTGCAAGTTGATAAGCCACAAACAAACCTCAATCAGCTTCTTTCTTCATCGTCCCCAAATGTGCCTGTAAGGTCACGCTATCAGATTTCTTCTAGAAGCTATGGTGTCTAATAAGGAGAAGTAGCAGGGACTTTTGCTTAAAGGTATTTTGATAGTGTATCTTCGCTGATGGGAGAACTTTGACTAGCTAATCGAATGGTTGCCCGATAATGGACATTACAGACAAGCACACTTTGTCTAGTCTGACACCCTTATTTTTGTCTTTCAAAAACTCCTCGTCATTTGCTTGTATGGTTTCAGAGGGATTGTTCTTACTTACAAAATAAGGTGTAGGACAGGGGAGGGGCCACAGGGGCACCGGCTCCACCTGAAAGCTGATTGGTCCCCAGAATGCCCCCTCCCCTGCCGATTCAAAACATGTCATTGGCTAATGAGAAGGTTGGCACCTTTGTATGAATTATGGCCCTTCTCCTGCCTTCCACCTTAAAAAATCCTAGGATCACGTCTGGTGTAGGGTGTGGAACACAAGTGATCCCATTTGCAGTGCCGGGGCTTTTAAAGAGACTTAATCATGCACAAAAACTCAATTTAGGAGTCGGGAATCACTTTATAAAATTGACTTACTTATCAGTAAAGACAGAAAATAAGGAGTAAGTGCAGGAGTATGCAATCCGTAAAATTATTTTAGGGGATCAGAAATTCCCTCAATTCTAGAGTTCTTAAGAATGTTCATTTGTCTGACTGCTTTCATTGTTTGTAGAAGGTTCTGGAGAGGAGCCATGGGGAAGCGTGAATGTGTTAGATGATCAGAGGAAACTTTGCCAATTATAATCGCCTGAAGGGCTGCCCCACAGCCAGATAATGGGGGAATCACAGAGGAGCGGAATCGGCCTGCTGCGGGCTAGAGAAAGGTGCCTGAGATTGTTACTGTTCTTCTGTAACCGAGTTCACAAATGGCACTTTCAACACGATGAATATTTTCCAAATGTGTGGTTTTCATTGTGACTGAAAGAACTTTTATGAGTTTATTGGTAAAGATAATGAAAAACGAGGAGGTTAATATACTCTGTAGAAACACACATGTAACTCTTTGCTTTTGCTCTTTCTTTTTGGCTTTGGGAGATAGAATGTTCTGCTAGATTTATACCTTGTCTTATGGTGCCCCCCGCCGTACCTTTTCAGGGCCCATAGGCAAACCTTTACTTGGGACTTGGGAGCCCCCCCCTGAAAGAGAACTAATAATCATTTCACTTTCTCCTTGACACAGGTAATTCAGGCGGCTCAGCCGACTACCTATAGCCCTGGGGAGCAGGGGAGGCAGGTTTAACTGGGGAAACACATGGGAAAAGAGGCCCTGGGGGGTACAGCAGCGTGGCAGCTTTGGCATGGCATGTGTCCTGGGGATCGGGAGAAGAAACCAAAGCCAGCCTGATATGCACCAGTAGTCAGGGGCCTGTCAGCTGATTGACTGCTGACTTGGCCGCTGACTCCACCCCCCCCCCCCCCAAAGGCCAGACACCTCACCTGTTTTTTAGGCTTTAATGAACTGTAATAGTTCAACGTAGCAAAAACAGAAGGCAGCAGGTGCAGAGATTTCATGGGACGGAGTGTGTGGGCAAACAGAGGTAAACAGACATTATAGAACGACAGCTGCACATTTCACACGCATGCATGGATATTGAAGGACAAATGGATTGTGGTACACAGCGGCTTGCAGGCGGGAGCTGTATTCCTCTTGCTGAGAGGGCACGTGCCACCGTGATAATAATGCTTAACGGCATTCAAAGTAAGCATCACTTAGCCAGAATGAATTATTCATGACACCTTAAAAACACTTAAAAATCTAAATTCTTTTACTGCTTTTACACTGTAGTTTTTTAAACCTGACTTTTAAATGCTGAAACAATTTCTGCCCCCCCCCCCTCACCATGAATTAATCCTTCTGTTAAGCTCTCAGGGAAACATTCCTCTGCATATGTTTGCGCAGAAGGGAATGTAAACTTAAGTGCAAAATTTCACTGTTAACAAAAAAGAGCTTTCGTTTGCGATATATACACATTTTCTTCAGAAGAAACGCTATTTTAGAACAGTTCACTTCCAAACTTTCCCGTTTCCAAGTAAATTGGTTTGGGTTTTTATTAGAAAGTAAAATTTGATTTTTTTTTTCCCTCAATATAACAGATACCCTGCAGCAGTTATTTAAAAGCACCGGATTACACTACTGGCTGAATATCCCAGCTTGACTTACACAGTATGTATTATAACGCATAACTTGCTGAGCGCAATGCCTCCAATTTATCCATTGCTGACAATTATAAGATATATTCTCCACCATGGGACCCCGTAACACAATCTTGTGACAATGAATCTGAAAAACAGCTGAAGTGAGATGGGAGAGTTTTCAGGAAAAAGTAAAAATAATAATAATCTTAATAATAATGCCAGCAGAAAAGATGATTGATTGCCTGTGAGTGGCTTCCGTGCAGCAGGCTTTCAGAAGTTTCCTCAAGCTGACGCTTTGACAGGAGACCTTATCGTTCTAGGTAAACAAGAGCGGCCATATGTAGATAATGGAGGCAGGGAAAGTCGCATTGCATTTTGCCTCTTACGTTCCACTAGGCTGTCGCGCTGCCTTGACGTACTTCTAGTTACTACTGCAAAGTTGGATATTTAGGTTCGGCAATAATTTTTACACAAGTCAAAATTAGATCTGTCACTCTGTTTTCTTTAGCTCCTTGCCTTTGAGACGTCCCTCCTCTTGACAGTCTAAGTGTGCTGTTCCCACAGGCCTGCGATGGAGCTCGGAGGTTTGTGAGCTGGGATAACAGACAGGCTCTTTGTTGACGGCATTTACTACTTTCCAGAAAGGGTGAAGCTTGATGGTGCAGTCGCAGGTGCCAGCCAGTGTGTGGGAATAGATCGATATTCATGCACAGCCCTGTTGGGTATTTTCCTGCCAGCACTGAGGCAGTGGTGACCTAACGGTAGGAGAAGTGTGATTGAAAGGTTGCTGGTTTGAATCCCCAAGCAGCAAGGTACCAACGAGGTACCCTGCGCAAGGTACCGCCCCCAAGCACTGCTCCCTGGGTGCTAAAATAATAGCCACCCACTGCTATGTCACATATGGGTTAAATGCAGAGGACGCATTTCATTGTTGTGCACTCTGTGGTGTGTCAACATTGACTATTTCTGTCACTTCACAGTTCTCCTGATTTATAAAACAGTTTAGAAATGAGGCATGCAAAGGGGGCTTCATTGGCGTCCTGTTGATTGGTGTCACATCAGAAATGGAGGGGCAGGCTAATCTGTCCCAAAGAATCACCCCGTGTAGTCGTGATGGTGAAGCAGGCGTCCTGCTTTGCACAATACTAATGTTTGTGGCTTTGCTCTGACATCCTGGGCTTTCTGTCTCCAGCGGAAAAGGCCGGCGATGACTTCTACAGCAAGCGGCGGCACCTGGCAGAGCTGGCGGCCAAGGGCAACCTCCCCTTGCACCCCGTGCGGCTGGACCACAACCCCGGTGGCCCCTACAGCCCCGAGGAGCCCTGCCCCAAGCAGAACGGGCACAAATCCAAAATGGCCAAGGGCCACGGCGCCCACCCCAAGGCCTACAGCTGCAACAGCGTCACCAGCCCAGGAGCGCTGAAGGGCTGGGGCAGCACAGAGACCGCCGAGAGGCGGAAGGGCCACGCGTCCAAGAAGCAGTGCACCGTGGAGGAGGTCAATGAGCTGCACACGGCCCGCGGCCAGCACTTCCACCCCTATTTTGTCACCAACAGCAAGACGGAGGTGACTGTGTAGGAGGGAGTCATTGGCATGACCCCACCCTGCCCCCTACAGCCAACTACCCACCCACACAACCAG